ACATAACTGGGTAACGTTAGGGTCCAGGGCATACAAATTTGGTGTTACGCACCGGGTCAGTCAAACAAAAGCAGCTAAGCGAAGCAGTTTCAAGTGAAGCCTGCATTTTTCTCATGTGTTTTGTGAAGTTGTCTCTTTGCACATGAAGTGCTGTGGTGGAATACCAACATTACATTAGCGAGTTCTAGATGTGGCACCAGTTTGAGCAGGCTGTGTGCAGTTCAGGCTCATCTCATGCCTCACGGGGGGCAGGGCTGTGGCATGTGCCAAAACCATGTGTAGCGAACCAAAGCACTGCTTTTTGAAAGGCGTTTGACAGTAGAAGCGGATAGAAGGATGCAGACAGGACAGGGCAGCAGGGTTTGGGACTGCCGTTGACCGCCCATGTCGCTGTCATTGGCGTCGCTGTACCGTGATGATGACTCGAGAATGCCTCAATTGAAATGTGTTTTTTGCAAACACGGATACTGACAGCACTGCTCCTAGTACCAATGCCAGGAGCCACTAGTAGCGTACTTGCTCCTAGTAGTAGGGCCAGGAGCCCCTAGTAGCTCAGAATGCTCCTAGTAGCGATGTTAGGAGCCTCCCAGTAGCCTCCTTGCTCTTAGTAGTAAGGCCAGGAGCCCCTAGTAGCTTGTAGTAGCGATGCTCAGAGAGAATCAGAGACAGTGACAAAGACTAAAAAAGACACTAGGGATCACTAGGGTCTGTGCGGCGCCGAGTTGCCGACCCGACAGTGGTTCCTGCAGAACAATGCTGTGACCCACTGCTTTGAGAACATGACCTCAAGCAGGTTGGGGCTGGTTTTGTTGTACTTAGTTCACCTAGTGATCTAGCGTCGTAGGTTTGCAGCGCCATTGTAGGCTGGGTGGGTTCTGCGCCGTGCACAACGGCCACTGCGATCCACCTTCACTACCAAAGGTTCCCTGTGAGTTGAGCTGGTCATTGAGTTTCAATGTTTGGAACTTTTAGAGAATCGAATCATAGGCATAGGCGGCATCGGCTGTAGGCTTAGGTAGTTCCTGGGCAGGAGAATATCGTGGACGGTGACGAAGCTCAACAAGACATATTCATTGCTGGCTTTACGTGTAAACTTTTTTCACAAGAGGCGACCACGAGGTTCAAGACTGCAGATGTCTCGATGCTGTTTCAATCCAAGTCGGAGGCCGTTGCAGCTTGAAACTCAAACTATGATTGATGAGAAATGCGTTTTGATATGCGTTTCTGGACACGTTGCTGAGGGACGGGCGGAGAGAGGGATCGAAATCTGAAGTTGACACCAAGGCAAAAAAAGCTTTAGCATTCCTTGAATCAGTCGGTACGTTAGACAATATCGTCCACGGCTGCTTGGATTTAGTTCTTGACACTGAACACTTGGAGACTATGGACTAGAGGACAAAAAAAGCAAGACCGAAAAGAACCCACTAAGAGACCACGATGTTTCACGAGCGAGTAGATTGCCATGCGCGTTGTTGCTGGCTTGAGTGGCAGGCTGGTGATCTTGGAGAACGTTTCTGGAGCAGCAAAACGCGCTTCCTCCACCCCTGCCAGTGCGGTTTACCAGGCTGGCTACCGCCCGAAAGTTGTCGACCGAAGTGAGTGAGCTCAAGTTTATGATAGATAAGTTATCGGCGTTTTTTTCATGTCGAACCATTGGCAAGTCATTGGCGCCTTACCGGAGGCTGTTAGCTGTGCTCAAACCAATGTTCTGAGCCGTTGCAGGGGGTGGATCATTTTCGTGTGGCGTGCGCGCCATTTACGCGAGTGATTCGAGGGGCAGGCGGCGGAACAGGAGGGCCGTGCAGCCTGATACTGTGCCAGTGTCCAGCAATGTGGAAGGTGGGCCTGGACCTGGACTTCATGACGGCACGGAGGACACCACCTTTGTTTCTTTCTTTGCCGGTGACTTTGTGATAACACATGTTTCAAAACAGTTTGTGAAGTTATGTTATGTTATGTTTCTATGATTCAACCAACTTTCAAACCGTGAATAGAGTAGATTAGGTAGATAGATAGATAGATAGATAGAAGAGAGGAGCTTCAAGTCTTATTGCACTGCGCGCCGGTAGGATGAGGGGAATCAGGGGCAGGCTGATGTCATTCCAGCTGCCATTCAGCTTGGCAAGAACTATTCGCGTGGCAAGAAGCATGGCGTCTCAGTCTCGAACGGTCTAGCTGCAAAGCAGGTGCGCGAAGCCGCTAGCATTCAGAGCCTGGCCAGCTCCTTGAACCACAACATTGCCCGTGTCGCTTTTAGCAGGTGGGCTTGCGGAAGAAACAGCGCTGCGACCCAAAGGACGCGTTTTGGCCGATAACTTCGATAGTCGATAGCCGATAGCCGATAACTCGATAACTGAACTGAATCTGAATGTAATGAATCGCATTTTATTCCGATTCATCAAGTACCAAAGTCAGAACACAGTCAGTGTGTAGCCGGTGGCGGCCACTCCCAAATCCAAGGCAAACCTACAGCTATTTCAACCAAGCTGATGGAACCGTTGCTGGTTTCCAATCCTACGGCCGCAGCGATTCACAGCTGAAGCGATACAAGCAGGTCGGGGCAGTGTCCCATGTTGAGGCCCAATACGCAGGGCTAGTCTCCCTTTTGCAGTCTGGTTGTGTGAAGCACATCGCGGACATTAGAATTGTTGACGACACGAATGCCTGGGTGGCTCCGCAGCAGCAGGCTACAATCGAAGCAGCGTTTCATCCAGAAGACCTTGTGGACGATGGCAGTGACCCGCACTTGTGTCAGGCCAAGAAAACCAGCTCGAACTCTGGCAAGCAAGGCAAAAGAAAGGTGTGCCAAGCGCTGGGATTGATTGAACGTCTTGTCAGACAGAGACCTAGACATTGTGCAGCTTCATGCGCCCGCGCAAGTCTTGCCCAAGGCTAATGCTGGAACCTTGCTGCATCGGGTCGGAAAATGGTCAATGCTTTCACAAGTGCGTGGGGAACATGTTTGCGGAGATGAAGCTCGGGAGATGCTTGGCCGTGCCAAGATCAAGATGTATGTGACTTGCACTGATTCGCTCACAGCCAACAAGGAAGTTTCTTGCTATCCGGGGTTGCTGTTTGCAACCAGGGTTGCTGCATTAATGCTTTTGTCGATGGTTGAAATACTGTCGCATCATATTCCTTGTCGCAAGTTGCTGGCATTGAACCCACGCCGTAAACCATTGGCATGGTTTTGCGCAAGCCAATCATTTGTTATGCGACCAGTGAGCCAGAAAGTATGTCCTGTCCTAAACATACAATAAGATAAATGGTATATTAGTTTGGTTTCCTCTTGGCTAGGACAATCTGCACGAAAAACTCAATTGTGTACTTTGATGAAAGGTCCAGGGGTGGCTCCAGGTCCAAACTTCAGACACCAGGTTCCAAGCTGTTGTCTAGACCAGGCAAGATACTATTATATTTCTTGACTTAGGGTTTTTAGACCTTGCAATCCAAACGCACGTTTGAGATGTTCGTGCTTCGGTTGTCTGTGGAAACAGCGCCTCAGTCCGAACAGAACCATTTTGGGCTCAGTGGCCGCCTGCTTTGGGTTCAGTCCCCATCATGACGGCTTGGAAGCGCACAATTTCGACTCTGAGTGATGAGTTTGGTGCCTAGCATGTTTCTAGGTGATGGGCCGGCCTCCCCGATTTTGTTGTTCTGACTGCTGAGTTCATGCCACAAGAAGAAGGTCATGAGCACTGGTGCCACCGGAAGCTTGATGGTCAAACCCTTATTTTGCACATTAAACATTTTCCTTCAGGCGTCGAAGTAGCTTGCTGAGGCTTCCTTCGCAAACAAGCGGTACCCCAGCTATGGCTTGATGCCACCAGGACGTAGTATCACGATTGCCACTGCGAAAATGCCGTGGAAACGTTCGCCTGCCGCTTGCCCATTGAACATGAGATTGGTGCCTTGATCAGAAGGCTTTTATTGTGCAGTGCATGCCAGATTACGTTAGGGTGTGGCTAAATAATATACTGGTTCCCATTTTTGGCAAGGTCCCACGGGTGAAGAAGACGGCGTTGAAAAAGGCTAGCAAAGTCAAGCTGATCACGAAGCCAACCATCCGCAACAATTTTGGTTGCATCCGCTGGTGTCTCAGTGCAGTGTATTCTACGGTGCAAAGTGGTTCATGGTTGGGTTTTATTTAGCTATTAGCCTAAGGTGTCTTCTCGGCGACAGTGCGAGCTTGCCAGAATTATCTCAGCCAACGCGGGAGTCAGGCAATTGGAAAACCACAACGTCCAGACTTTGTGTTGTTTCGCTTGCCAGGATCTGGCTACCCAGATATTCTACTGGGACCACTACAGAGCTGAATGTGCAGCAGGGGGTCAGCCTTTGGGGAAGTACTTGAGTGTGCACACCGCTGAATTTTTGAGTGGTCCCTTGTCTTCTCACATGTCAATGTCAGTGTTGCTCTTTGTTTATGTCAGTTGACTGCCCAACCATGCCGTGCGGTGTATGAAGCAAGGTTTGCCATGCGGATGGACGAACCCAAAGGAGGGCAGTGTTTCAATTTCAGAGTTCAACAGGATGTTCCCGAATCACTGTGGACATCTTCGTCGAGCAGTGAACTTAAGTGTCAACAGGAGTTGATATTTGATGACATGTTCATTGTTACCAGGTTGTGAATTGTTTGGTTTGAGTTTGTTCCCAGGCGAACCGACGACGAGTCATCTCTTTGTTTTCTGGAGTGGGCGGTCTCGATCTAGGCCTGACAGGGTCTGGCCCTCATAACGCCAGCTCTCCAAGATTTCATGTTTGATGGCCACTAGATTTCTATTGAGGCTGTGCAAGGTGCAGGCCTATGTTAGGGCCTGAGCAGATTTAGCGCAAACAAACATTGAAACACATTTTGTTCATCAGTTTTTTGGTGAGGTGGAGTGGAGCCCGGAGTGTCAGGAGGTCCTGCTGGCCAGAATGGCGGATGGCCTTCTGGATCGAGCGCCATTGTGGGCTGATGCGCTGACTTATACGCCATCAAAAGAGCTCCAGGAAACCTGCGAAGGGTTGATTGGTGGCTTTCCATGTCAAGTATCTTGATTGAGGGTTTTGAGAGGAGTTATTGCACGGCATGAGTATCCTTTTGGGCTGCAAGTTCCCAAAGTTGTTCATTCAGATTTAATGTCGAATCCAAGGGCGTATCAAAGAGTGGATGCAAGCGCGGGATGCTGGATGAGCGCAGTTCACTCGTAAAATCCTTCTTCACCTTGATCGACCAGATGCCTGGCGTGCACGCCCCCAGTAGAGCACATGCGATGTTTTTGTCAAACGTGTACTTTTAACCTGAGCGGGTCCGACCATGTGTGGCGCGCCAGGTACTTTGCCCTCATGGAGAACGTGAAGCATTTGCTCTCTGCAGAGATGAGACCCATGATGGAATACATTTTGAAGGAAGATTTGAAGTGAACGATGCAATGCGAATGATTGACATGCGCTCTAACACTGTCAGCGATCTTTGAAATATGTTCTCAATCACAGTGTTCAGAGTCTAGGTGAGGTTGCTGTTTCTGCCAGGAGTTTCATCGCCGTAATTTCATCGCGAAGTGGTGTGTGGTGAGTGGGCAAATGGCAGGCTTACATGCTGGGGCCTCATCATTTGACGCCCAGTGATTCCAAGTGTAGGATTATTTTGCTGGAGGTCCGGAGAGATCGAGTCTTCATCCTCGCCAGCAAGGCGAATAAGATCGCAGATGTGTTCCAGGCTGTCCTGTTTGTCCCGGCTCAATACATCATTTGTGGAAGTTATTTGTGCTGTTTGTTTTGGAAACGTTGTTACAGACCCAATTCCATGGCAGGGCTTCAAAACCATGACGTATCAAGAGATGGAAACTGAAGCGCACAAGTGTCATCTTTTTCGTTGCCAGCCACCAGTCAAGACGTGGCTTACAAACCACTGGAATGAGTCTGACGCTAGCCGCTTGAGAGCTTGTGGTAACATCGTGATTCCTCAGTGTGCGCAGCTAGCGCTCAGCATCCTTGCGAAGCTGTGGATGTAACTGTTGCGTGGTAGTTGCACCCTTTCACACTGAAACCAGAGCAATCGTTGGAGGTGTTTTCTTTGGTGGTGCAAGCTGTTCATGTGCAGCAGAAGCCTGTTAATTTGGTGGCGTGCATTAATTCGTGACTAAGCCTTTGCAGCGTGTAGTAATTTAGCATCGGACTGACCACTGACAACGGGCTTCAGTTGCAGTCAGGCGCAGCCGGCATGATTCTATAGTTCGCTTGGCTCAACCATCATCCGTATTTGTATTCTCATGCTACACAAACTTTCAACAGAGTTTGATGGTAGATTGTCGGATTGTTGTTTTTTTTAAACTTCTTAACGGATCACTGCCCTAGTACGCTAAACCTGGCAGGTGTAATAACGCGCCTCCATCCTTTGCCACAGCTTTGGGTTCAGACTGCGCATCTGGCCTGTTAGCAATTTCTTATCAACTGAAAGCGTCCGAAACTCTGTCGATTCTATGACTCATTGGATCTGATGCTTCCCCCACGGCGTCCGGTTCAAAGGTTCCCCCACATGGTTTTCTTTGCTGAACATAACTTGCCATGGCCGAAAAGCTTTCTGGCAGCTTTGGTAGTGCAGCCAAGTCCGGCCGGGTGCCAACCCATCCCATTTGCTCGTGGTGGGGCCTGGCATACTGCAAGTACGACTTGGGTTGTGGCCATTCGGGCTTTGTGGGGGAGGATGATTCTTTGCCGCCAAACACCGAATATGAACCTTGCACGTGCAACATAGCAAATTGCGTCAGTGTGATTCTTTCTGGTTGGGTCTTACTAAGCTAGTCAAGTCTGGGGAAGCATGTTGTCAGCAAAAGAAGCAACACAATTATATGTCAAGGAAAATGAACTTGAAGATGCTGCGTCAGCTCACCAGGCAAGGGTTTGCATGCTGGATTGCAATCATGTCACGTGCCGCGCGCCGCCTTGCCAAAGTGACTTTTCCAGGATGATGCTCCGACTTCTTTGTCTACTTCTGCGACTCAATTTTTCCACGAGGTTGGAGGCCTGTCACTCATAAAATGAAGCCCAGTAAAAGTCCCTTAGTCACTATGCGTTTAGCGCTAAACGTGATGATTGCCCATGCCGCCAGCAGTTTTGTAACCAATAGTTGAAGACTTGTCAGGAGCTTTGACATCATCAGAAGACAAGAAGCGGAAGAATGTGGCCGTGACAGGTCCTGTTTATGATGGTTTTTTGCTGGTTTGACGCCGGGGTTCTTTCTTCAACCTGAAGCGGAAGCACTTTTTGTTGCAGCTTAAAACTGCTGTAAGGGTGTCCCACTCACTGCTGCACCAACCAGCGAAGAGAGCCCGATCGTTGGGGACAGGAGCTTGGGATCAAAGCGGCTCTCAAAGCTTCGAAGATTGAAAAGTACAAATGAGCTGTTGCCGTAGTAGCAGTGTGGCCTTACGTACTGATATTGTGTCTGAAGTTGCGCGCTTTATTATTTTGCAAAATTCGGAAGCGTTGTTCAGAATGCACGCTTCATTTGGCAGTCTTAATTTGTGTGAAGTCTCTTGCAAGCCCACCGCTTCAGAACAAATGATGTGTGGAGCAGAATCTGAGCGTGTTTTTGAGGACTTTGTCTAATCAATAGCAACGCCTGTCAAGGTTGTGTCCTTCTCGTTAAAGAGAGCGAAACTACTCATGAAAGATTGTCTTCCTGTACTTGCTCCGCTATACTTGCATGTCTCAAACACCACAATGTTTCCAAGAATAATATTCAATCATGTTTAGAACAATCCAATTTGTTGTTTGAAGAACACTTACTTTTGAGGGAGTGAATTCGTTAAGGCTTAACCGTGTAATTTCAGCCACAAGCAGGGCCACATTCAGGACAGCGTTTTGTCACTCAGCCAGTCATGTTCCATACTCGGTGAAGCGCAGTCTGAAACTAGTAGTATGCTGCCATTTGCTGTTGTGTCGGCATTGTCTGACGATGAGCCAGTTCTTACACAAAGCAGGTCGCAGGCCAGTAGTTCAGCTCCTTCTGGCCAAAAGGCTCGTCAACAGGCTGTGCTCCCAGAGCGATTTAGGCCTGCGCGTCTCAGGGCACGGATCGGGCTGTTGGTGGGCCAGCTTTGCAATTGTGTCCGCAAGAACAAGCGGGCCTCCTTCCGCAAGAGCTGCATGGCACAGTTTCGGAATGAGACCGAAGAGCTGTTTCAGCTCTCTTTGAGATTGCGCCGATTGGCGAAACAAGACATGGACAATGAGGCTAGGAGTTGCTAAAGAAAACACGGTTTACATGAACAGTGCACTTGTTTGTTATCAGACATCATGCCGCGTGTTTATTATGTCTCAGGTTGTGAAAATTCTCTCAAGAACTTGTCCACTCACCAACAAGCCTATTTTGCTCGGTCGCCTTGTGTGCCAACATGCTTTCCGCCGGCTGTTGGGACTTGGGCCTACTCGTTACTACAAGCTCAAACGTTCAGCTCGATTGGGCGAAGCACCGCCCCTGGATGGTCGATCAGTGCCGCGTGAGCACAGCTTTGTATCTCAGCGACAGTCCCTTGAAAAGCGATCCAAGATCATAGACTTTTTGCAGGAGATGTGGAACACAGTTGCAGAGTCCATGCCAGAAGCCACAGAGAAGTTGACTCCAGCCAAAAGGGGTGCTGACACTGCGCCATCAGCTGACAAGCCCAATGCCAAGCTCAAGCCATTGGGCTTTAGGCGCCGTGGGAAGACACTCAAGGCTGCTGCAGCTGCACACAGAGGCAAAGCCGATGTTCAATGCCGAATGCTTCCGCCAGGCACTTTCAAGGACTATTACCTGTTGTTCAAAGCAAAGCACCCAGAGATTGCAGTCTCATTCAAGCTCTTTTCATCAGATTCTTGGTGTTTGGGGGTTAAACTTGATATTTTTTACAATGATGTTCTTGATATGCTTCATGAAAAGCTGAGAAGGCTGATCTTGAGCCGTATACTTCATGTAGCATTAAACTAGTGGTGCATGTTGAGAAATATTGCTCGTTTGATAAGTCTCCGGGCTTTTGATTTCAATGTAATCAATGTTGACAACAACCAATTGAACATTGGATATTTGGTAAACTCAGGTGCAGTTGTTATGTACGTGTTCCAGACTCACGCGTGAGCTTAGGACTTAAAATAGAGTGCATCAGGAACTGATTGCAAGACTTTTACGCGCCACAACGATAGAACATTTGCGTGGTAGATTGCGCTTCATGTTGTATTGGTTTGTAGTTAAGGTTTGGTCCAAGAGCAACTTTGGCGCTCGCCTGAAGATTCGCCCCGGCACCCAGCACGCACAGTGTGGCGTTTGTCACAAACATAAGGCCATTATCAAAAAATTGGGAGGTGACCAAGCAGCACGGCAACAACAGGTTATCCAGTTCCAAACGCACTTGCGGCGGCAATACGCCGACCGCTGTGAGTACTGGGCACGGAGGTCCTCTGCGAGATTGCCAGTCACACCGAGCGGCCGACCAACAATCTCAATCATCACCGATGCGATTGACAAAAGCAAATTTCGGTATCCAAGAACAAGGCTTATGGGAAGCAAGGAGTTCCACAATTTTGCACGTCCTACCATGGACATGTCGGCCTGCCTAGCCCACGGTTATCACGTCGCCCTTGCATTGAGCGAGCCTTTCCAGAAGAAGGATTCTTCTTGGACAGCTGAACTGTTGTCCCACAGTTTGCACCAAATTGGCCATTACATCGACCTGCGCACAGCAACTGTGCACATTCAGGCTGACAACACCTGTAGAGAGACCAAAAATAATACTCTTGCTAGGCTGTGCGGTCTGATGTGTGGCCTACACAGATGTCACCATATAGAACTCAACTTTTTAACCTCGGGGCATTCCCACGAGGACGTGGACCAATTTTTTTCTGCAGTGACGAACTACTTGCAGAAGGATGAGAATCAAGAACTTCACACACCCGATGCCTTCGTTTGCTCTTTGCAAAGGTGGCTGGATGATCGTCAGATTCGCCCTTACGAGCGTGATCGCTACGTCCGTAAAGTGGACTCCGTCCGCAACTGGTCGCTTTGTGTGAATTGGCAATAATTATTCATGGTCTTAATTACATACATACACATATATATATATATATCCTATATACATATTTTTTAGGGAAAACACATTATATTATGTGACAACTTGTTTCCACTGTGAATCGAATTCCTGAAAGGAGAACGTTTTTGTCAGTGGCATGCGAAGAAAATCATTTAGCTGGAATGACTGGACGTGGGGCACCACATGTCTTCGCATTTGATCGGCGCGGCGAATTGCCAGGACTTGGCGAGATCGTGTTTAAGTTTAAGTGTGTAGGCCGTCTTTATTGTGCGCAGTGGGGGTTGATTGCCAGTCTACTTGTCAGATGACGAGCAGGTATAACGTAGAAGGATCTTGCTGCAGGATGACTATAACAGGCTAGTTGCCGCGAGCGCTTTCACTTGTTAAAGTACACGCTTCTTGCGCGTGGGGTTCTTTATCCTCACTATCCCCCAACCCTTTACCAGGCTATATACATTGAATCTTCAAGTGTTCAGTTCGATCTTTACAGTTAAAATCAAGAGAGGATCCCCTAATGGACCGGCGTTGGGTGGCGTTGCTTTGGTTGTTTAATTTGCATGTAACAATGATGGATCAATGGAATTGATCCATTGTTGATCATGGGTCTATCAAATTCTATGTCGAGTTCATGGCTCCAAGTTTCACTTGTCTATTCAGATGTTCTGCGGAACATTGTCGTCCATCATATAGACCACAACAGACTTTGCAGGTGAAGAGGACATAAAAGTAATTCCAACAGTTATAACTTATCGTCACCCTTTTCTTGGGCTGCTTACTTTACGTATGATTGCAAATCAATGTCAAATTGTGTGGTTGGGGAATAAACAAAGCACAGAACGTCCAAAAAAGTATGATTTTTTTGGAATTCATGACCGCCGGCCACGCCTTTTCCTGCCAGGAGACATCCAAGCAAAGATCCCACGCAGCCGCTTTTGGAAGCCGGCGCCACCAGATGACAATGATGTGATTTTGAGGTGTGATTGACACGACGGCTGAACAAGTTGCTTTATTTTTTACGGCTGAACAAATGATTGCGCAAGGTATTCCGTCAACAGTTTGTGAGTGGGGATCACTCCGCCAGGACGAAACGCTTCATGTCAGACAGCCAGTGGAGTGAGCCACTTCTGTATATGCCAGCTGCTTTGCGCACAAAGATTTCGTATTCCGGAGCAGTGCCGGAAGGCGTTGACTGCTTGTAACTTGTATAGAAGAAACTGCAAGTTGAACATGAGTAACAGTCCCTTTGTAAGTGGATGAACCTGTCATGTGTTTGCACCGGCCAGTCACCCTTGAAGATCGAGATCATGATCCTGCAGCCGCAGAGAACTGGTTGAAATATGCTCGTTTGATGCGTGCCTCGTCATTTGAAACTGAATGGGATGATGACAACATGCTTTGAGACTCTAGTCCAGTGCTGGAAACTGGTGATTCGCAAGGTGAGGAGCCGTATTGCATGGAGGATGCTGCGTGTCATTTGGAAAAGCTGGCACGCCAAGAGCTACCACGCGGTCCATTACTTGATGTTAGCAGGCCAGCCGTCAGAGCTGCATGTGGTGAATACGGGGTGCATCAATTCAAGGTGGAACGCAGTTTTTGTTGCAATCCCTGCTTCTTAACTCCTTGACAGGTGTTTGCCATCACCCGGGCCAGCAGTTGGACCAGGCCAAGCAGGCAGCTGCCACGCAGGAGGTCAAAACTTGGATTATGTTTCTTGGAGACCATGAAAACGCCCCACCTTAGACCCTCGAACAACGTGAGTACAAAGCATGTATATGGTGACTTGGGGGGGGGGTTCATGCGCTGGCAATTTTCCACTTTGGGTTCACTTTTAACAAGTGTCCTGGGGGCCCGTTTTTTAGATCAAAAAACGGGTCCCCAGGTCACTTGTCAATACTAAGAAATTCACCCAGCTCCAAAGCCGAAACCAAGCGGAAAATTGCCATCGTGCGCAGAATGTGAGCAGGGGATGTTGTCGGTGTTGTCATTGTTTGCGTGGCTGGTGTGGTGGTGTTGTCGTGATGGTTGTACCTGTGGCTGCGGTGGCTCTTGTTGCTGTTGTTGTGTGGTTGTTGTTTGTTGTTGGCTATGGTTGATTGTTAATTGTTGGTTGCAGTTGCCTGTTGCTAGTTTGGTTGTTGCTTTGATGTTGTCATTTGTTGCTAGGTGCTTGTTGCTTGGATCCTGGGACGTGGTTGTTGTCGTCATCGTCGCCGTCGCCGTTCTTTATGTTTGATCCGCTCGTTTCTGTACAGATCTGGCGCCGTGCGTCTATTTTTTGTTTTTGGTCAATGTGTTTTAAGTTTGGTTGGTTTTAGTTGTTTGCTTTTTTGTGCAATCGTGTGTGTTCAGTGTGAGGCTCCAAATGTTCTCCAACTGAGACGTGAATCGTTGGGCAAGGCCGTGTTGGACCGCTACAGAAAAGCCACTTTACGATCTGGTGTGTACCGAGCTGCCGCAAAACTATGGGCGTCTGGTGTTCTCTCATGGGAAGACGCCCTACAAGCAGTTGAAGATGCGTTGGGTGTGAATCTTGATGACACGGCATGAAACTTGTTGTGATGTCAAAGACATCTATAATTTAGAATTCCCACACTGCGGCCTCCGCCGACCGTTTGGTGTTTCCTTTTGCTGTAGTGGCATGGGGAATTATCGCGTAAAGGCCCAGCTCATTTTGTGCAGCTTCCACTGTGACATGAATAGTAACTTGTGTAAGATTAGGTTTTGGTCTTGGAATTCATGTGGTGAGCCATGATGGTTGCGCTCCATTTTTGTTTGCTTCGCAGCCATCACAAAAGCCCAGTAGCCTATCAACGGCTATTTCTTGCCAGGGGTCAGTGCCAGCCATCAAAAAGCGGCAGGTGGATTCCAGGATGATTCCAACAATTTTCCACCAAAGGCTAGAAAAAGTAAGGCGCCTCCAAGAGACAAACAGGTTTTTTGATGGCGGGCACTGCCACCAGTCAATAATATCAGGGGTGCTGACAAACCGTTTCTTTTGCCGTCAAGCAAACTCAGAAATTCATGTGTATGAAGGAAGAAAGCTGCAAAAATTTGGGTGCGGCATGGACATTTAGGGGGCCTACATTTGGCTTGACAACACATGTTGCCTCGGATGGCAATGTACAAGGAAAAAATCACTTTGTGACTGATGTCGGCGCAGTCCATCACAAAATCCTGGCTTGAAAAGGAGGTAACAACAAGAGACATTTTTTGACGGGTCTCACTGGAACCCGTCAAAAAACCTGAGACACAGTATGAGTTTTGACGGGTTGGGGCGCAACCCGTCAAAAAATGATGCGCTTATTTTTTTGACGGGTTGGGGCGCAACCCGTCAAAAAATGATGTGCTTATGTTTTTTGACGGGTTGGGGGCGCAACCCGTCAACAACAGTTGTTATTGTTGGGACAATAGTACATTGTTCTAACAGGTGATGGATCAGGGCGCAACCCATCAAAAAACTCATGGATACTTAGCCGTCAAATATTCCAGGCGGTGGCGCTACCTATCAATGTCTCATCCGATCCCCTACACCAATTCATGGGTTTTGGTATCCTGCCGAGAGGTCATATTATATATTATGTTCATCGAGTCACTGTTTGTTTTACTGGTCGAAGTGAGCCAAGGCAACCTGTGTTGATTATGAGCCCAAGAGTACCGTCTCAGCTCGGACAACTACCGTCTCAGCCGGAGTTTTCGAGTTTCGATCTGGAAAGCGTGATTGAAGCCCACGGCAAACTGTGTGGCTGCGTGAGAGCCTTCTCGCTTTCATTGAAAAGCTTTCGATTTACGATCTATCATTGCGCGTCATTTTTGCAACAGCGTGGAATTGATACTTTTTACGTGCCAGGTGACTGACACGTGACCACTGGGGAGGCTGAAGGATGCGAGAGTACCGTTTGTCAACCGATGACACGCTGCGTTGTGATAATTCGGACTTCGTGCGACGGGCCACCAGCTCTTCTTTTCAGTTCAACAGCTTTCACTGTAAGCGAAAACAATTTCAGCACGTATTCAAAGATCCGTGGTTCTGTGGGTATGTCGTTTGATGATGTTTCAGGTTTTGACCCAGCCGAGCTGTTTTGATCAACCCTGTAGCCAAGAGTTGCCATGGGGGCTAAGCGCAAGTCAGGGGGTGGTGGGGACACCAAGACACCCAAGAGCTTAAAGGTGAAGGCCAAGGATGCAGAGAAACTCAGTCTTAGTGAGACCTATGGTCCACAGATGAAGCTATTCGAGACGTGGTGGCCATTTGGCGCATCGGAATGTTTTTGTTGCAGAGTGTTTTGTGATTCACAGAGTGTAGTGTTTGATATTTACAGTGCAGGATACTATATAGACAAGGCTTGTTTTGTCAACGGATACAAAGGTCGAACGCACTGAATGAGTGCACTTGCATGGAAGATTATTTCAAGAAGCAATTGGGTACGAAGGCGTGTTCACTGAATCAATCAATGGCGGTTCAACGAATCAGCGCCCACCATGTTGACACGAGGTTTACTGTAACAGCCACTAGTTGAAACCTTGAGATAGCCTATATATCTTTCAGCCAGTCAATCGGTGTCGTATATTTTTGGGAGGCCTCTGCTTTGGCATTCTTGAAGTGGATGGATGTCACGTTTCCTGCCCAAAACTCTGTGCCACATCCTCAGTGACACGAATAGGACTGTACAATGCCGCTGTTGCTGCACACCTTGCAAAACCCAACCATGAACTCTTGGAATTACCAGGAGTTATGCTGTCAGTGGAGATTTGAACACAGAGGGTCCAGCGCGATTGCGACCGTGGCACCTGCCGTGGGATGCTGCGTGTGGATTGAAAGGTCTTTTGGAGCCAGTGTTTTGGATACGTTTCATGTGTTTTTCATTGGTTTTGTTTCCCTATTGTTTTGAAAGCTTCATTCCTGTCCCCCTTTTGCCTTGATTGTCACACCTTCTTCCCTCGCAAGCAAAGTCAATTTTTGTTTTCC